CCCGTCAAATTTGTGCGACTACAGTAGTAAAAACGAGCGCTTAACACCCAAAAAAATTGGAAATACTTTGTTTATTCTCATTTTTGTGGCAATCCTAGGTATCAAACGAGCTTGAACGTTCTACCATGTGATAGAAATTTAAAGCGGGAGGAAAAAAAATCTAGGTAGATGGCACCAAGAGTGGTGAGTTTTATCTTACTGCAACCTGTCTAAAGAAAAGGAAATTGGAGGGTAGATTCAAGATGATATCTTCTGCATGAGATTTGAATAAGAAGTTGAGCATGTGCAGTTTTGATTAGCAAAGTTGACGCAGAAAACTCACTAGGATTCTATACCTTTCCCAGTAAATGTTTCAAGTTTCTTGACCTCACCAAGGATTTTATTGAATGCGTGTTCTTGAGGAATTTAATCACAAACCATGGTTCATCTACGAAATCGTGTTCTCGACGAAAGAGACTTTTCATAGTAATAGACTGATTATTTGGCAATGACAGGTTAATTATCGTAAAGATAGCTCTGCTTTGTTTCTGAGAGGGAAAATCCAAATCCACTACTTTGAGACAACTCGTCCAGTAGTAAGACTATGCGTTGGTCACCGAGATGTTAAATGCAGTGGTTTTAAATTTCACTTGAGTCAAATGACTGATAAGATGTAGCCTCAGACGCCTGGAATAAACGGTCTCCTCATATCACGTAGCAAACTCTTTCAGAACTTCTGCCTCAGGCTTACTTGACTCTTATGCTTGTCACAAAAATGACGCCATTTCAAGGTATTCCGTTTTAATTTATTGTTTTTGTAATAATATTCTGTAGTCTCTACGGTTCATTGGAGATATTTGACTTGACGGAGGCTTACAGTTTACTTCGTAGTCAGAGTAAATGTCTTGTTTGATGCACTATTCCAGAATCTAATAAAATAATTTAAAACAGTTCCTATGCTCCGAACATTGGACTAGCTAGTGTAAATCTTTATTAAAGATATGAAGGTTTTACAGGCCAAAATTCCCAACATATGGTCATACAAAGAAAACAACAGTAAATGTGGCAAAAATACTGCCTTTCACGAAAAGTATTCACCTATATGTGGACATCGTGGTAAAATATGTATAGCATGTGCCAGTAAATTTTAAGTAGCCTTGATATTTCTAGAACGTATCAACATGTAACCCTGAATTCCAATTACTTGCAGGGAAAGCAAAATACCAAAGCAACTGAGTTCAGCAGTCATAACCGAAACGTCTACACATAAAAAGAGCATTAAATCCAAGCGCGACTTTGTGACTTCCTTAATTGTGTGAACTCATTTTCTGAAGCGACAGTTAACAAAGATTTACAACCCATCTGTTTGAGTGTTCAATACGCATGGACGAGCGCAACTGACAGGTCGCTCTTAATCGGCTAGAAGGTCTTACGGAGGAAGTAAACGAGAAAATGATGCAGTTAACTGTCCAAGATCCCCTACATGAAACGCGGGGCCAACTTACTTCTGAAATATACATGGAGGTTGGCATTGATACTATCTGTATTAAGGCCGCAACATATTCAGGACTGCTTTGAACAGGCAGAAGGCAGGCCTTGGGAGGAAATAGATACGTGGAAACGAGAACAATGACACTGTTTGTCTTTGTATCTTTTTGTAGTTTCCCTTATCCTTCACAAGGTTTCCATACCCAATAAAAGCCCACCTGTCTCCTGCACGACTCTTCTGGGTGATGGGAGCAAAGGAAAAGATTGAAAGGAAATAGTTCCTCAGTCCAAGTCTCATGCAGTAAAAAATAAAGATCTAACAATTAAAGTGTAACTTCCATGCGTAGATGAAACTAGAAGAATAAAATGAATTTCTTAACAAAGTGGCATCGTTTCATATTTGAACCTAGCCTAATAGTCTTTTCATCGTAGCTTCTTTCAATTCGCTATAATTGAGTTCACTTTGCCATTTTAGATCCATACCATTTCATCATCATATGTACTCAATGCATTTCTCTAGGGTCATGTGGTGTTGCAAGGTAAAGAACTGAAACGGGATACAAACATGAAATAACGGTGGAAGTCGGATCTCAGAAGAATTATAGTCTTCAATACAGACGTATTTAGGACATCCAAACTAATGACAAAGATGAGCAGATTGAACCCAAATTGAAAAAACAAACGCACATGAGTGAGGGACATAGGTTCAAAAGAAATCATCTATCATACCTGGAGAAAATGAGAGAGAGAAACTGATGGAGTCAACATGAGGGTTCATTCCCTTAGGTGGACCCACGAGGAGGAAGAAGAGGCCACGTCACCTATGCACCCTTTCTCCTCGAAGGAAGGTGCCTCTCCCTCCAAGAGACACCACTTGACATCCTTTGGAAGGAGATGCCTCTAACTACCTTCCTCTCTTTCTAATAAATACTCAAACATACGAACAATTTTAAAAAAGATGAATTTAGAATCAAGAAAGTTCTTGTTATCACTCTCACTTCTTGGATTAGGGGTTCCTCTTTCCCCTCGCTCGCCTCTTGGATCAGGGGTTCCTATTCTCTTTCACTCGCCTCTTGGATTAGGGGTATCTTCTTCTTCTCACCCTCTTGGATTTAGGGTACCTCTTTCTCTTTCTCTTCTCCCACTTCATTATCCTTCCATCCTGTCATCATCTGCTTGTCCACACTTCAGCCTAACTTGCCTCTCACTATCCTTGCCGCTGCCGCAACCACCTCCAACCTTGCTTTCACCGCCTATTGTCGCCCTCTCCTTCCATCGCTGCAAGCCCTATAAGTGTCACCGTTGCCACGAATCGTTCAATCTCCTCCGCCATTCCTTTTCCTCGCCGTCCACCTTGTCATCAGCCTGCCGTCGCCGCCGTTCTACCTTTTTGCCGTTAGCCCCACGTGAAACCCTCTTTCTCTCTCTCTCCCGCCAACGTTCTCATTTTGCCCCTTTTCTCCCTCCACCCTTTAGTTAATATTTAAAAAAATCACCCTTGGTTCTCGTCTGCACGAGAATCCCCTATTTTCTGTCTCTCAACGTCACAACATACCCCGCATTCTCTCTCTCTCTCTCTCTTTCTCCTGCCGACACCCTCTCATTCCACCCCCTTTTCTCTCTCCACCTTTTCTTTTCCAGTCATCATTATTTTATTATTTCACCTCATTTCTACGTCCCAACCCAAACAGCTTATTCCCTTCGAACTGCATCAGTCCACTCCTTGGTGCGAACCACTCAATCTGAACCTTTGAAAATCACTAACAAAGCTTGTGAAACTCAAATCAACAAGAATCTTCAAGATATCAAAAATCTCTATCGCAAAGGTATGTTGATTTTTAAATTTCTTTTGAAGTTGGTAATTATTTTTAGATCCTTCCTCTTAGAATTTGTGAGATTCATAGGATAACCACCTTTGTGTGAAAAATTGGTGGTCCAAACCTTGGTTGAGAAGTCTTGTTTGATTTTTTGAATTAGATAACTCAATAGGAAATTAATGATCCTATTTTTTTTTAAACCATGGGATTATCTGGATATCAAGTCCTCAAAGTTTTAATTTAAGTCAACTCTAAAGATTAGTGTGCAGCTCTCTTTAAGGAGATCTATTATGGCCCCTTTGTCCCCCATTAGAAACAAATGAAAGAGAACCTAACAACTACTTTTGGATCTCTTTCTTTGGTGCCAAATGTCATCCTCTTTAAAAGGAAAGAAAAACAAAAATAGAAGAACTAGAATCCTCTTTAAATGCCTTCTCCCATGTCCCTCCCCTATTTAAAAAGGAGGGAGGGAAAGACCAAGAGTATGTGGAGGCATTGACTAAAATGCCTCCATTTATTTAGTGGGCAGTTTCTACATCCCTTTCATGATTGTAGGGTTTATTATAACATGTTATATTTTATTGGGCTATATAATAGTCCAAACGATTAATGAGTCAACAAATAACACTTTCCAACTTTGACTTAATCACACTATATATGTAAAAGAATTTACTTTTTTGAAACATAACAACCCGTGATAATGCTTTGTTTCTATCTAATAATGAAGTAATACACATAATTTCTAGCATGAATTAACATAAATTGTGATTTTTTTAAGTAAAAAACATTAATATTAGTTTGTGAGTGATGTAATGTTTTTTTAATTAGCTAATTTTTATGATTTATGTAAATGAAAAAATTATAATTTGAATCAATATGTTAATAGAAATTACTCATAAAGTTAAATTTTAAAAATAGTTTATTTTAAGTTTTTAAGAAATCTATGAAGACATTTTTTAGCTTTTTTTAGTAATTTAAAAATTATCATAATAATGAGAAGAAAATATAGTGATTCATGGTGATGAACATGAATTGGAGGTTAAATATGTCATCTTGATGCAACCAAATTCATGAAATAATATTTATAAAACCTCACTCTTCTATTTAGGATAAGTAATGGTCAATTTTTAGGGAGTATAGGAAATAAGAGTAAGAATTTTACTTATTTTATTTCCTATATCTATATATAGTTGAGATCGTGAAGGGTAGAATTAAATCTAAAAAAGGTGAAGACAAGAGGAATAAAATGTGGGACAAAGGGGAGATATTGAATATAACGCAATAGAATGATAGAATAAATGGTAAAATTAGTTTGAACTAAGAGTCAATGTATTCATAGAAAGGATTATAAGGACACCCCAAATCTAGATCTTATACAAACCTTATTGTGCACCAGTCTTAAGCCAACTGTATAAGCTTACGATGAAACCTATCTGATGGTCTTAACTGTTGACCCCGCATAAGCTTACGATGAAACCAATGCTGATTGTAGTGGGGGGCCCTCTGTTCGGTTCAGTTGCAAGTCATAATCCCACTAACAGCGCACGCCGAATAAATATGGCAACTACAGGCCAGTAGATACAACGCTCTTCCATACGACCATCTCATCTAACAGTCGTGCCAAACCAAGTGTTTAATTGAATTGCAAGTTCAACATTCACGAAGGCGGACTTCAGCAGCTCGCATTCAAGGCTTCCTTCCCATCTCTATAAAACCCTAGCCGAACATCGCCTCTGAATCACCCAACCTCAGGCTCGTCATGGCTACCAAGACGACGGCCACGACGGCCTTTTTCCTGCTCGTGAACCTTCTATTCGCCGCCTTGGCTTCTTCCCAAGTTGAAGGACCCGTATCTCCTCCTCCACCAACAGAAAACCCCTCCCCTCCAGTCGTCGCTCCGTCTTCACCTCCACCTGCTACGTCGCCTATCGAATCTCCACCTTCCCCGCCGCCGTTGTCCTTACCACCACCACCCTTCTCACCTCCGGTTGAACCTCCGTCCGCACCTCCAGTAATACCTCCGTCCGCACCCCAAGTCGTATCTCCGTCCACGCTCCCAGTCGTTCCTCCGTCCACTCCACCAGTCGTACCTCCGTCCACGCCCCCGGCAGTGCCTCCGTCCTCGCCCCCAGTTGTTCCGCCGTCCCCACCTCCATCCTCCCCGCCACCACCACCACCACCGCCCCCACCGCTGCCGCCGCCTCGTCCCATCGTGGGTGTGAGATGCCTTATCGATGCCGTCGGGCTAAGAATCTGCGCTCCGGTGCTCTTCGCTCTCCGGGTAACTCGTATCCGCCCCCCTAGAGGAGCTTGTTGCGCGCTCATCGATAGGCTCTCCAACGAACAGGCCGCAGTGTGCCTCTGCTTCGCCGCCAGCAACAGTTTCCTCGGACTTAATCTGCAGATTCCCGAGGACGTCGCGTTGCTCCTGAATTTCTGCGGCAGGCCGGTGCCTGCTGGGTTGTCGTGCCCTTAAAACTTTTGATTCGTACAGATGAATAGACTCCAGTGTTCAGTGATTCCCACGCCGCCTTATCTGTGCTCCTAGACGCTGCTGTGAGCAACTGCCAGCATTTTCTGGTTAACATCCTTGTGTTTTATCGTGCTACCTTCATTTGGTTTCCGAATTACAGCAATAAACTGTTTGTGTTTGGTTACTCCACAACACGTGAGAGCCATCTTTCGGGCACACTGATTGCAGTATGGAAGCCAAAACAATCACGTGAAACTGGTACCAATAAATCCAGAACTCATTTATAATGCCGGGTTCTGCAAGCTTGAGATTAGAGGAGACTAAGTTTCGGTACCCCTACCACAAAGGTGTTGGGATCTGAGCGGGGACTCCACGGGCAAACACTCAGAAAAGAAAATCTCTGAGGCGGAGTGTATTTCTACATTCTTTCCTCTCATAGAGAACACCCTATCGAGGAGCTCATTGGACCCGGTGAGTTGGGCCCATAGACTGGAGGGTGTTCCCACTGTGGATGTAGAGAAATGAGAAGTAGAGAGAAGTTTTGGCAGAAGAGAGGAAGGAATCTCTCGTATGTATTCCTCGCACCTCAAATGCTTACAAGGGTCCATATATATATCATACAATGTGTTACCGTTGTAATATCTAATATAGGTAAGAGTTTTATTTAGTTATATTTTTAAAACACGTAACCACTGGCCTTGTGTCTCACTAATGTTCGTTCCCGTAAATCGGTGGTTACGACGGTTCACGGTTTCCTCTTTTAAGTCGCTGTAACCTCCGGTTCAAGATTGTTGTCTTGACTCGTTGGGTGATCTGGTCTAGAGATGTTCTGGCTGTTAATACTCTCCCGCAAGCTGATGGCTGGTAAGACATTTAGCTTGAACTTTAGTTAAAGAAAACGATGCTTTGGCAGCGGCTTGGTAAGGATGTCGGCTACTTGATCTTTGGTGGAGAGAAAGCCGATTTTGACTTGCTTGGAGTTGGCTTGCTCACGCACGAAGTGGTAGTCAATTTTGATATGCTTCGTACACGCATGGAAGACAGGATTGACAGCCAGGAAAGTAGCTCCAATGTTATTGCACCACAGAAACGGAGTAACCGTGATATGGATGCATAACTCATGAAGTCGAAATTGAATCTCTATTAATTCGGCTGTGACATTAGCTACAGCTATATATTTTGCTTCAGTACTTCAACGAGCGACAATAAGTTGCTTCTGAAAATTCCAAGAAATCAGATTTTTGCCTAAATAAACGAGGTATCCTCTAGTAGATCTTCTATCAATTTCAAATCCAACCTAATCTGCGTCACTAAAAAAAGAAAGCGATATATCCGCAGATTTATGAAAATAAAGGCTATCAAATATTGTTCCCTTGAGGTAACGAAAAAGAGGTTTGACCCGAGCCCAATCATTAATTGAGGGATTATGCATAGATTGGCATGCTCGATTGACAGCAAATGATATATTTGGTCTTGTGATCGTAAGATATTGAGGTGCTCCAACTGCACTTCGATAGATTACAGGATCAATGAGTTCGATTGGTGATAGAATTAGTAGACGAAACAGTACAAGAGTTGGAGAGAGATTTACAATTTTCCATGTTATATTTTTTTAAGGTAGTAGCACTATATTTAGATCGAGAGAGAAAGCAACCTGCTGAAGTGTGTATTAATTCTGTTCCTAAGAAATGGTGTAGGTCCTAAATCACACATAGAAAACACAGAGCTTAGAGAAGTAATAATTGAATTAGTAACTAAATAAAGCTCTTACCTATATTAGATATTACAATGGTTACACCTTGTATGATATATATATGGACCCCTGTAAGCATTTGGGGTGTGAGGAATACATACGAGAGATTCCTTCCTCTCTTCTTTCCTTCTCTTCTGCCTAGACTTCTCTCTACTTCTCATTTCTCTACATGGTATCAGAGATGTTCTGGTCGTTAATAGTGGAGACCTCTTCCTATTTTTCTTTCCTCATGATACAACAATCTCCCATTTGGAAAGAAAAAAACAGCACCACGAATCCCTTTCCTATGCGTAGTCCTGCGCGCGAAGCACCCCCGAATACTAGCTTATATAACGTCGCCCAGTCAGTTCCACGTCGCGCCCTTCCTGTGCGTAGTCCTGCGCCCGCGAACATCTTCGTGCACGTCTCCTGACTGCTGCCGCATCATGCTCCCACGCCACGAGAGACATCAATGAGCTCCCACTGCTTGGGAAACGATCCAGCACGTGCTACCGTACGATGCCTCTGTCCGTGTCCGACGCTGTCCGCGTCTGTGTTGCAGACAATGCCACCAAGGGAATGTAGTCCTCACGATCGACGTGCTGATTTCTGCTTACTGTGTTCTTCTCATTTACTGTGTTTGTTGCAGTGTTCGTAAATGGTGTCGTCTGCAAGAACCCGGCCCATGTCAAGGCCGACGACTTCTTCTCTGGACTCGACAAGCCCGGCGACACGAAGAACGCTCTCGGATCCAAGGTCACCCCCGTCAACGTCAACGACCTCTTCGGGCTTAACACCCTCGGCATCTCGCTCGTCCGCGTAGACTTTGCCCGCCGTGGGCTCAACCCTCCCCACACCCACCCGAGGGCCACGGAGGTGCTCACACTCCTCCAGGGCAAGGCTCTACGTCGTCGGAATCACTTTGTTCTTCCTCATTTCCGTATTCGATTATGGCCACGTTACACACTGTAACTGATTTTTGTTATTCGGTTTGCAGTTTTGACGAAGGATTTCTGAAGATGTTAGAACCGTCGAAAGTTATTCATCTTCGTAATGAGGGGCCTGAGATCTCCGCGGTAGCATTTTATTTTCCATCGTTATTTCTTTTACTCGTTCAACGATTAAAAACGCTATCATATTTTGTTACTCCCTTTTGCGGTGCAGCCCTTCGGCGTTGTTACTAAGCTCGTGATGCTGCGGGCGAAGAATCAGGTTTTCCAGTCCATATTCTGATCCCTGCGGACCTTGAGAGCTCAGATAAAACATGTTTTTCCTGATTTCCCCCTTTTTTCACGATCAGGAATCGCTTAATGAAAAACAAAAAATGATTATGATTTTAGGCCGAGATGCTCGTATTTATATTTTTGCCACTTATAGGGCAGAGAAATAGACCGTATTGAAACGAACGGCCAATGGTCTGTTTTGTTTATGTTTCAGATCCAGGGTAGTACAACAGGTAGATCCCTTTACCCATATGGCCGACCATCCGAGAACTTTTGATTCATGCTGTGTAACGGATCGGTCCGTTATCCTACTTTACACAGATCCCACATTGGGCCTGAACAAAATTCGAAACATATCTGGTTAGCTAGCCTTAAATATAACTTGCATTGGATTTAGTTATCATCTTCAACTGAAATTTTAGCTCACTAACAGATTGAATAAGCTCTTCAGAGTCAAGCTTATTAGTCTGATCTAATAATACTCTTTAAATTCTCGACCGATAATAAAAATATTTATCCTCATTAACCTGAAACAAATCCAGATAAATGGCAGGAATATTCCACTCTACTATGTTGTAAATACTAATCAAATTTAATACCCAAATTACTTTATTCCGTTAGATTATCCTAGACATACTTAGGGGCACATTTGTGCATTTTCGTAATCAGGGAAATATCTACAATATCCTTGATCTGTTATGGTTGTCCTCGACACACGTAAATCATAGCACTTACGATCCAAGAGGGAATTCGCTCTACTACCTCAACTAATGGCCGTGAATTTAAGCTGCATCGCTCGCGTCTGTGGTGGTTGATTACACAAGTTTATGCAGCAGGAAATCAGTAAATATGACCCAATTGCCAACATTTTTCCACCTAAGCACATTTCCCTTCTTCCATTTGTCCATCTAATCTGTGACTATTCCAGGCTGGTCTGTTCTGCAGTGTAACTCACGAAAACTGGATCTTTTGAGTTCACAGTTGTCTTCATTAGGAGATCTCGGTCAACAGAAGACAAAATAGTACAATGCAAGTCATTCATAGGTCACATGACTGAAGAAGTAACGCACTATATTCGTTCTTGTCCGAGACTGATGGAAGAATATGGTGTTGTTATTAGAACTAGTACATTCCTGTACATTTAGTAGTTCGTTGTATGATGGTATATCCTGTATTTCGTGTCGACAGTATCGAATCACACTGAGACGTTCCGTGCAGCAGAAAAAGAAGATTATCCCGACTTTCATTTTATTTGGATATCTCTAAGGAAACAATACACGCTGCATCGTAAACACGGATGACAAATTGTTTAATGTTTAAGTTCGAAAACGCAATATCGTCGGAGTAGAAGTCAAAAGGATCAGAGCGACGTCTAGGATGGGAGGTAACGTGGCCTTGGGTTCACGGACAACGGCAACGGCGGAGTTCGTGCTCATATGCGTACGAGTTAAATGATATACCGTCTCCTCGGAAGAAGAGTTTTAAGAGCACGTCAGCCCAGACGGCACCGCCCTGCCGCAGAAATTCAGCAGCAACGCGACGTCCTCGGGAATCCGCAGATTAAGGCCGAGGAACCTGCTCCTGGCGGCGGCGCAGAGGCACGCTGTGGCTTGTTGGTCGGAGAGTCTAGCGATTAGCCGGCAACAAGCCCCTCTAGGGGTGCGGTTACGAGTTAGACGGAGAGCGGAGAGCACCGGAGCACAGATTCTTAATCCGATGGCATCAAAAAGGCATCTCAGACCAAGGATGGGACGAGGCGGTGGCGGTGGGGGTGATGATGGTGGTGGTGGTGGGGAGGATGGAGGTGAGGTCGGAGATACGACTGGGGAAGTGGACGGAGGAACCACTGGGGGGGTGGAAGGAGGTACGACTGGGGGAGTGGACGGAGGAACCACTGGGGGTGTGGACGGAGGTACCACTGGGGTAGCGGACGGAGGTACAACCGGGGGTAAGGATGACGGCGGCAAGGATGGGGCTACGGGAGTTGAAGGTGGAGATTCGATAGGCGGGCGTAGCAGGTGGAGGTGAGGACGGAGCGACGACCGGAGGGGAGGGGCTGTCAGTTGGTGGAGGAGGAGATAGGGGTCCTTCGGATTGGCAAGAAGCCAAGTTGACGAATAGAAGGTTCACCTTGTTGTCATCTTGGCAGCCATGATGACCTTGTTGTTGGGTGATTCAGAGGCGGTGTTGTGCTGGGCTTTATAGAGAGGGGAAGGGAAGTCCTGAATGCGGTGTGCTGAAGTCCCCCTTTGTGAAGGTTAAACTTGGAATTAAACACTTGGTTTGACACGAATCCTACTGGGAATGGTCGTTTGAAAGAGACTTGTTTCTGATGACCTGTAGTCGCGACATTTATTCACCGTGCACTGTTAATGGGATTGTGACTTGCAACCGAATCCCACTGCAACTAGCATTGGTTTCATCGCCAGCTTGTCTCGGGTCAGCAATTCGTAACGAAGTTTTGAACTTAACGGGTGAAAGTTTGCCTTTAACAGAAGTTTGACAATCCACAAAGAAATCTCAGTCATTTAGCTAGGCGTTGTTTGGCGTCGAACAGTCGTACAATGCAAGGACTTTAACCTGAGATCGCGGTGTGGCAGAAAGTATAATTTAAGATGGAATTTAAACGGTCAATTTGGTGTGCGGGTCTGCATCTGTTGTCCAGATCGAACGTCCGTCTTCTTTCATTCATGAGGTATTCAGATTTGGAGGATTTTCTACGTCTGGCGTCTGGTTGCCGGTTTGAAGGGCAGAAAGCCCCGCCTATTAATTCTTTGGCACTCTGAACCTTGTTGATTTCTGGGCAGGTGGAGACGCTTAGCTATAGACTTGTGAAGAGAACACGATACGCACGATTTTCTACTTCCGTCCGTCATATGTTCAGAGCTGCCAGTTGACAAATTACGGCTACATCGTAATACGTACAAGGCTAAATAGGGATGGAGGTTTCGTCAACTTAACTGCCACATGGCATTTAGTTGTAATTTCTGGTTGGAAGAAAACAGTAGATGCGTTTCCATTTTCTGGTTCGAAATTCCACCGGGACAGATACAACGAAAGCGATGTTGTTACTTCCATTGTGATGCAGGGTGTTGGGCCTGTATCTCCGCACCAGATACACTAAATAGATCAACGATAAACAAGAAGTAGAGTAAAATACAGATATATAAGGTCACACCACGGCATGCGAGAGAGAAAAAAGTTGTAACACAGGAAAAGACCACAAGAGAAAAGAGTTGCCCCCACAGACGGAAGTTTCAAGTTCGTTACAGCGTTGGTCAACTCTGCACATGCCGCGATATCTTAAGAGCTGCACTTTTGCAGTTCTTCAACCTTAACAGTGACTAAAATTTATATATTGTATCTGATGTCAAGGATATGCCGGAATAAATAAGGAAAAGACAGATCCAGTCGACCCTCGGTGATCTGTGAAAGCCAACGTTGACGGTGTACATTAATGTGAATAATTAATTCCATAATTATTCCATAGGTTCATCTCGATTTCCGAAGTTTATTACCATGAAGAAAGTTACCAAATGCCGATAACTGAAATAGTTGTAGTTTAACGATTGTCCGTGTTGTCAAAGACATTTTGTGCTTTTCCTTAAACTTCTGTCTAAAAAGGCGGCTTTGAAATGGGTATGTCATGTACTAATTGTAGAGAGGAAAAAAGCGAGTCGTGACGTTCCCAATGATGGGTTGGAAGTTAACAACTGTGGTTGTTAGAACTCATGAATTGCACTAATCTACCATTGATTTTGAATCTCATCAGTGGTATGGTACCTACCAACCCAATTACATATATTGAATATTTTGCTGCTTATCCACTAGAAAGTGATCCTATGGTGAATATGGTGCATTCAATATTTTTCAAAGAATTCGGCTCAACAAGGGATTTAAGTCTGTGAAATGAATTTTGATACCTTTGTGTGCATTAGAATGTTCATGCAATGCCCTCCCATTATTGTGTTCGTTCTCATATTATTTACACATCTTATGGGACTTCCTATAACTTTCATTAAAATGTTTTCTGTTTGTGATTGTTCTTTTGCTTTCAACAGTTTTCTCTATTGAAATTTGAATCGGTTTCATAGTGTGCTCTTTTATACGTGGTTCAATCCAAATAACTCCGCATTACATCTGCCGATTCTTTATACGAGAACTCTTGGAAAAACACGTTTTGATTGTACCTTATTCCACGGGTAGTATGCTTCTGTTCTGTAAAAACACAATGGTTTGGTTTCCCCTGTAACTTTAATTTTGGCAGATGCCCATCATCGGGCCCCTTAGCTCATCATGGTGACAGTGTTTGGTGAGACTAAGAATCGAGATTAAACTATATCAATGGCAATCGACCTAGAAACGGATATTTATCAGGTGTTCTACTGAAAGGCTTGAAAGATGACAATTTTGCATTCTGCTGGGGGGAGTCGTATTAAAATCGACCATCATGAGTCTGTAGGGGGAGGAATGGAAAATGGATGGTAGGCTGGTGGGTACGGGTGAGACCACTGTGGAAGAATGATTTCCACTTTCAGGAGTCTAGACATGGTAAGATTCCTGACTCCTCTTGAACGTTAATATTAAATGAATAAATAATTTGGTTTGCTTTTGCAGGTGTATAGACGATATCTATTTTTTTTTTAATTTTATTAAGGACAGTAATGCCCCTTGGAAGTGTTTCATTTGGTTCGTTCAAGACATGTTGATAAGTTTTCACGAGCCTCAATTGACGCAGTTGAGTATCCAATATAATGTCCTTGGTTCGGTAGTCAGAAGAATTCACCATGGGTCCCGTTTGAAGGTCCGTTGGGCGGTCTCTTGTCTCCCTGATGACGCTAAAACCAGCTTTTCTGCGTTTCGTACGATGCAGGGCACGTTTCTGGACATTCCGGAGCAGTAATATCCTTCCGGAAATCGGATTTAAGACTGAGCCATGTATGGTAGGATTAGCGTTCGGGGTCAACATCAACCGTCCACCTCTCACATCCGATCTTTGGTCGTCAACGAGGCATAGAAGTGTTTATGATTTTAATGTCCGGCATAAGGTCGTCGTTTTTATGGACACAAAAGCCACCAATTAATCTCTGAAAGTCCGACACCGACAGTAGAAGATTTGCTTTGACTATGAACCGAGACGAAGTGTGTATTGACGTGTGCCGGACGTGTGCAGATTTGTGGGGCAGCTGGATGTTGTAATGGTTTGGTTGTATTTTTATGTGTTCCAAGTTTCACGACGACAAATTATTCACAACTGCAGGGAGACTGAGCCTTTGTTAACTTGAAAACCGGCTCTCATTCACATCTCGTATTTTGTCCTCAGCAACGCTATCTATTCGCAAGGAGAAAACTTGAGATGTCGAGTGGAACGAAAGTTTTTAGCCTGGCTTAGTACGATCGTTTTCTAGATTATTAAAATGTAATAATCGGGGTATCTCCAACATGATGAACTGGATTTTAATTTTGTTATAGACACACTGAAATTTGCACCGTACGTAAACATCTAGGGGACTTTAAGGGGCTCGTACTGTTAGAAGATGTGGAGAACTGATCAAGGCCCAGAACAGCAGCAGGTGTGCGGACCCGGGCTCAAGATGCAGAGAATGCGCGGATCCAATAACAGGATCTGAGAAAGGGGTATATAAAGGGCACGAAAGGGGGTTGACGGTATCGATTTTTGTATTCGATCATTCATCCGTCCGCCCGCGCCGCGCTTGTCTCACCCGACGGCAGAACGTGGAGAGGAGAGGAGAAAGGGGCTCGCGCGTCGATCAACAGAGTGACCGACAGCGGAGCGGCAGACCTTCCTCCTTCCCTGTGTTGCGGCTATAGCTGTGGCGGCGGCTGTTCGGCAGTGCTCGGCTGTCTGTGGCGGTGGTCTGCGGTGACTACGCCGGTATTTGGTCTTGTTGCTCTCTGATGAAATAGTATATTGCTCATGCGACCATGGACATAGGAGGTTTTATCCTAACCACGTAAATCTCTGTTTTCCCCTTTCCCATGTTCCTTTTCTCTCTCGTCTTCTTCCCTCTTCTGCTCTCAGGTGCTTTCTTCTGCTGCGTAAGGAGAGGACGCGGCCGGCACGAAGCCGTCGTCCCCAACGCATACTTCCCAGATAAAAGTTTTGGTAATGCTAGGAATGCGTGTCATGTCTGGAAGGTCTTGAGATACTCCGTCAACTTGTCGAACCTTTGGCGGCTTAGGAACGCATATATCGCGTACCGTCAGGCACAAGTTAGAGAATAGTCGAGACATTTACGACGAGGTCAGGAAGTTGGTAGGTACTGTTGTCGTATCCCTACGCCGTTGGTTCCGTACGTTTAGCATGCTGACGGTTGACCAGATATGCGCGCTGAATATTTTGCCGGTTAACCAACCAGAATGCATATATTCGCCGATTTTGGTGTGTTTAATATTTCGACTCCGACGTCGATACGACTACAACCACGGATTCACCTCAGTTCTGAGACCTTTTGAACCTTTTGACGTCTTAGAATACTTCTGTTATTTCCTCCGTGTATCGCACTCTTTCCCTCGTGATTATGGCGTGAGAATTCAGATCTTCTGAACCGGCGACTCGGACGTTTTCAGCTACGACTTTTTTAAAGGACATCTGACTTAGCCTGCCTGGCGAAGACGTACTTTGGAAGATCGAATGAGATTGTCGCTGTGTCACTGCAGTGCGTTCAAGACTTCGAATACCAGTTTCGAGCCATCTTCCCTGTGTAAATCTAGAGGGAAAGTCATTGCAGTTCTGAGACCCACGTGTCCAAGACTCTTATTTCGCATAGGGTGACATGTCTTCCAAGTATGCAAGGCTGATTTTTTAAAGTCGCAGCGCGTGGAAGACATTATGGGAAACTAGCTCCTGCGATGATTATCTATGAGATTTTGAGAAATGACCCACCATGTTCATTTGAAATCTAATCTGAATTTAAGGAGTAAATTGGATTATTCTCTTCCGCAAATGACATTCTAGGACCTAACTCATGTACTCATGCTGTCAAAAAACTCATGCCGCGAGAACGCAAATTTGACTTGTTCAAGTTTCGACGTTTCTCTAGGAGTTTGGAAAAGTTCCCTTTGCAGTGGCTCCTTGAAGTCACTAGTATTAAGTTCTAACTAGAAGGTGTCCGTTGAGTGTATTGTGGGAGATTTCACGGCTGTTAGTGGAAGACTAGTTCAGGGGACTGGTGGGAAGATTAGTGACAGGGCAGTTCTGATAAACCCAAGCACTAGGATTATCACATGGTCAGTCCCGCGGTAGGGCGAAACTCCTTGTCCAATGACAGTTCGCAAGGCATTCCAAGTGGATTTGGAAGGAATCGGCATCACCGAATGGCACTTCTGGATTAACAATAGTTGCCATAATGATGGGTTTGGCTACCTCGAAAAGGGAAAATAGTCACTCTACAGTACATGGGAAAAGCACTGTTTATTCAGATGTACATACGAGAAGAACACTTCCCAAAACGACAGAGCCAATTTACAAGGTAGCCCTTCAAGAAGCTAAATGGAGGATTCCACAAGTCGTGTTCCTGACAAGTCCGTAACAGCAATAAGCTCATTGTAGACTTTTTCAGCAGTACATATGGGAACTCAGGCGCTGACTGCGATATCCGGATATTACGGCTGTGATTTATACTTTCGATGATAAGTGGAGTCCTCTTGATGACACTGGCATTGCAAAAA